CAAATATGGCATGGCAAATGTCTACCCAAAATCCTTTCAGGAACACGTATTTTACATGATCTAGCATTCCATGAGTTTCTTGGATCAAAGACCGCTGTCCTAAAAAAGAGGCAACAAACTAAATATGATGGTATCATTCAGATGAGATTGCAATTCAGAGAATTTAGACAACAAAATTGTAACTTACTTACTGAGCAATAATACAGATCATAAACTATGATATCTAAATAAGAAGTGAGTTTTTACCACACTTGTGTGTGGATTCTCGCGCGCTGATAGGCTGATTRGTATGTAAAAAGCTAAGAGGACATACAGTACACACAATGCAAACACCATCTCAAGGCGCGCGGTAAACTGAACGAATAATTTTCGGTAATGTTTAGACTAAAAATGTGACCAAAAAAAAGAAAAAACAATTTTTAGACGTTTTTTCGTTGTATGTCCTCTTATTGGCTCATTTTTTGACGTCGTAAAATGTAACTTGTCATCTAGTGCTCTTGAGTTTGAAGAATATGTCAAGAGAACATACAACTCAAAAACCCCGCTAAACGATTCATTGTAAAACACGACTAAAACAGTTTTTTTTGCCGCAGCCCTAAATTTATSYAAATCCTATTTTCTCTATTCCCTTGAGGTTGTTAKGGCGTTTCCCCAGGGCGACTCCCGGAAATTCTGAAAATTACCGATGCGCCTAAAGGGGAACTACATAGTGAAATGATGGGCGTGACACCGATAACCTGTCATTTTGGTTTGGTTTGAATTCTTGTGTTTGAATGGAATTTGGTGTGAATTCTTGTTATTATTATCACCTTAATGGACACTACGCTATGCTATAACTACATTTTTGGGAAGTTTGTTTCTAATGAAGGCTGCGGGGAGATAGAGCTATAGTCCCAGACCTAAAATTTCGATTTTTAATACCCTACCCCAGACTAAACATGAGAATTGTACACCCTGTTGTTTCTGTGTCAAAAGCTTAGATTATTAGTCGGGCTAGCCATAGGCTAGGCCGACTTTAGTTTTACCTTTTTGCCAATCTATCTGTGTGTCATGTCGCGTTTGGAACACCGGAAGTTCAATCCGCAACCTTCCTGTCATGTGATATTCTTTCTAACCGGAAATCAGACAACTCCAACTGGGATCCCTGTGTCATTGCGTCACACATGACGTCATGACATTTATTAATTTAACATACGTCATATGAGTCTACCTCCAAGTCTGCGGCATATCATCGTATACTAGTACTTTTTGCTTGACTTATATACTAATAAATTTGCTTGTTAAGACCCATGTGGGACGAAGTGTGCTTTATATAACTGAATAAAACATATGCGCATGCTCAGAGTACTAAATCTCCCATCCAATCACACATTTTTGCAGCTACCAGGGCATAGGTAGTCCTGTCAAATATACCATAATAATCAGCACAGGAATACCAAGATCACATGGTCAATCATATTATCCATAATGCTTTACTTTACTTGTCTTATGGTGCTGTGCTTGTGCTATAGTACGTTTGCTCGACTTTTCTTCCTTCTTCCTTGGAGAGCTATTGCAATTACATGTAAGATGTCAAAAAAGTACATGCTGAGACGCTCAACGGCAGCTCAACCATCTTACAAACGCACACGCCGTTCGCTGTAGACTCACACTAAAAGATGTCAATGAGCGTCAGTTTCGAAACGAGTCGTTCCGCGAACCCAAAGAATTCTTCGACAAGACGAAGGATCAGACCTCTACAATCAGCTCTAGACTCACAGTGATAAGTTTATTTATTCTAATAGCTATATTTTACGTATCAATAAATAGTTTTGTCAATTATATTTCCCCATTTACTGTGTTATTCATCGCAGTCTTGYTTTGTAAAATATGCTTCTTGACCTGAGAGGTCATTTTTTAATTAAAAACGTGAAACCTTACACCAAGATATCTGATAATCAAGTGCATTGCGCCATTTCGTCTCCGGTTCCATTAGTAATGATAGTATATGAGTTTTAAGAACATTTAAAGCATTTGTTTTGAATTTATTTGAAAGAGTTGCCTTTGGAGATTCCCCTAAATAGTATAAGCTGGTCTATGTACAAAAAACGGGATAAGTATAAGTTAATAGGATTCTTTACTTTAAACATTGCATCAAAAATTGTTAAATTATAAATTGTTGTTTATATAACCTTTTTAAAACACACGAAATTTGCATATTTTGAATGAGCTAGTTGAAGTTGGGATAGCTATTTTTGAAAATTGAGAAAGACAGAATATCACTCCTGGATCGATATTCCTAGTGTTTTGATGTCGTTGCGCCAAGCCACCAGAAAAGAATATCGCGGTCCGTGAATAAACAAACTAGATAAGGTATTCTACGCCATAATTTACTTTTATATATAATTATATGACTGTCAGAATATTACATGTTTTTTAGATACGAATTTTATCTTATCGTGTTGAMCTCTTTCGCTCTKYACGTATTCGAAAATCCAAGTAATTTCTCAATTTTCCAAAATAGCTAGCCCGACTTCACGCTCAAAGAGCGTCTAGTTCCAGACTAAAACTGACCAAAACTAACCTCAATTCACATTAAAACAACTAAAGTGTAACCCTATCCAAGACAAATAGGGTCACCCAATCAGAAGGGTCAAATCATAGCTCTCCAGGGTAGGGCTATCTTTATTGCTCGCCGTCGCTAAGCTTCGTAAAAAAAAACAAAAAACAACAAAACATCCTTCTCGATCACTACTTTGCTGCCTCTTTGCGTTATTCTCAGCTCGAAATCTTCGTATTTTCGCAATTTTGATCTTTGTAYGACTTAGGGACGGACCATTTGATTTTTGAAGGGGGTGGTGGGGTGGGGGTGGGGTGTGGGTTTGGGTGGGTAGATTTTAAACGTGCYCGAAATTTTTTTTCGCCCTACAGTACTGCAACTGCAGGATATTTTTTGTTGTACCAAGCTCTTGCACGATATTTTTTTTACAGTGTGATTTGTCACTAATTTGTCACTGCGGACAGACCATTTTTAGGGAATGGGTTAAATGCTTCCCCCCCCCCACAAAAAATGGAAAATGCATAGTTGCTGCTTTATAACACTATACGTTGCATTGTTATTACATAACTACACATCTAAACTTTAATTTGAAAGTCGGATAAGAGAAGACAGGCGTGGTTAGTGTGGACATTTTGTCTTGGCTGCACTTCTCAGGGACCGCGATACATATTTTTGATTTAGGGTTGTAACGGAGGTCAATGGCTGGAGTAATAAGGGGGGTATGGTTGTCCTACCCCAGAAAAKTTTGAAATAAGAACTCTAAGACATGCGATATTCAGCATTTTGAGGGGCATCGAGAGTATATAAAAGGCATCAAATTTATAGTTATTATGTGAATATTTCTTTTTCCACCTCCTGCTACGAAGAAGGGGGTGAAAGAGTTGAATATTTCATTTGGTTTAAAAAAACTCGGTGATACCGTAATAAGGGGGGTATGGGGGTCTTCCCCCAGAAAAGTTTGAAATAAGAACTCTCTTAGACATGCGATTTTCAGCATTTTGAGGGGCATCTCATGCTACGAAGAATGGAGTGGAAGAGGATGGAAGAGTTGAATATTTCATTTGGCTCTAAAAAAAGTGATACCGGTAATACCCATGCTCGATATTTTTTTTGGACATATCGGTGCTGTTCTCTTGTCAACCCTGCTAAAGAGTTTAAGAAACGTTTTAATGATGGCTAAATGTGAAAAATATAAGCTTAAAGAGGTCTGAAAATTGCAGCTAGGTTGAAGTCAGCAGAACTTCAACATTAACCATAGTTCACAATAAGCCTTTACCTTGATATTGTTTACTTGTGTTGTCAAATGAAAATGAATTTTAATTCAAAACTACTCAGTTTAAGGTTGTATTCCGGGCTCCCAGCATAAGAATTCTACAGCTCTACTCTATTGCACGTTTTCTAGCAGGCGTTTTACTGGAAAGTCATACATTGTTGGTCTTCCTGTGGTAACATGAATCATGCGCAATCTCGCGCAGCAATCGTCGCGCAATCGCACATGATTGATCTAGTCGACGTAGGGATCCGTAGGGATCTAGTGAGTGAATGTTTCGTTTGGGGCGAATGTGTGGTATATTTGGTCGACTCACTGTCGAGAACAGCGTCTTATACAAAGTACAAGAAGAAGAAAAGGTAAGAATTTTAGTTGTGTTAAGAATACCGAATTTTCACCCTATATCCGGAGTTTTGCCGCCATTTTTCACGCCTGTGTGGTCAAACTGATATCTTATTTAAACTTTTGAATTTCACCTTCATTTAAGCTTATTACGGTTTCTGAATTCSCCAATTGTCTGATAAATATTCTGACCTTATGTGATTTTAATTCTTATCGAACGTTGAGCTTTCCTTTGTGGAAAAGTTGATATGTTACAGCGGAAATCGTTGCATCGCGACCTCTTTGTTTTGAAGTTTGTCTGGAATTTGTTCTTTTTTTCAATCTGAGGGGCGGAGCTTTTCGAAAACTCGTTCAATCATTGGCTGATTAGTATCAAGCTCCGCCCCCAAGTCGCGGAAAAACCTAAATCCCAACTATTTCCTTTGAACATTGAAGTCGCGATGCAACGGTTTCTGCTGTAAAAATACTCAGTCGCTGAGTGCCGTAACTCTCAGTTTTTGTGATAGAGGCGATTTCGTATGAGTGGGATGCTGACGTGATACGACTACGGTACGGCTACGATACGGGTTCATTCCTATGGGTATCCATCCCCGCCAAAATTCCAAACATTCAATCTACGAGGAGCCGAGGACACTGGTGAAAAACGCACTGCGCATGTCCATAGCTTTCCCGCCAATGTGGGCGCTCGCGTCTTGAAATCTGCCTTATTTCCATATGTAAACAGAGCGCCTGGCGATTTTTTGAAAGTTTTTTTACAGTTTATAACCTCGTTCACGGATATATAAGATTCATATTCCATCAATCATTGTTCATGATAGGTTCTTTTAGTATGTAGTTTCTATTTTTTCCTTGTTATTTCTATTTTGAGAAAATGAGGTTTTTCGTAGTGTTTTCTGTGTTGTCGCTGGTTATAGTAGTTTTTGACACTTCGTACTGTGCAAATAAAAAATATTGCTGTAAACGTGGAAAGACAAGAAGAATAAAATGCAAGACTGGCGATTTGTACAAAGCTGACAAAACTCTGGCAAGAGTTCTATCCAGCGAAGAAGGCRAGTTGATCTGCCTATATCACCGGGACGAAGCAAAAATGATGGATAATCGGTGCTCGTTTCCGGCATCTTCATGTCACACTAAGTCCTTGGTTACGATACCCGAACGTCTTTATCTCTCGCTGGACTGGGTTGGACAGCAAAAAAAAGAATACAGGCCTGGAACAAAATGGTGTACCAGCTGCAGAAAGAATGGCGAAAAGCATTTAAAACAAAACGTTCCTTCTCTATACGTGCCACCCAAAAGAAGAAAGGTTATAACACCTGTCTAAAAAAAATATTTATTTATTTTGTACTCGGTATTTACACACACCATTTATCTGGGTTTTGGCTGTTTGACTCTAGCAACAACTTCAGTTCATGCCAATAAACTTGTTCTCCAAGAACACAGCTGTCCAAGGTATGTCATTGATATGTCGAGCTTACTCCATTATCATTTTATTTCTTTCCAAAAAACTCTTTTTCTACATCCCAATAGTGTAAATGGGTTTGCTTTATGTTCATGTGTAACATTAGAATTTGTGCTTGTTTCTGTTGAGAAAAACGGACACAGTTTTTAAACTCTTAGGCTTCAATATCAAATTCCTGTGAACTGACTGAGTTATATAAATTCATTAGTGCAAATACATAAAGTGAGAGAGTGGTTG